TGTGGGAAAGGTTTAGAAACCCTTAAAAATATATATAAATACTGAAATAAATATAACATCATTACTATGCTGATTTTCACTCATCGCAGGGGTGTCTGGATCGTAACCTCCACCCTAAGTGAGGGGCCACTGCACCGGCCAGACATGCGGTCCCACCCGTGATCCCAGCACTCGGGAGGCTGAGGCAGGAGGACCGCTGCAAGCTCGAGACCAGCCTGGGCTACAAAATGAGCTCAAGCCCAGTCTGAGCTGCACAGCAAAACCCTGTCTCAAAAACATAAAATAATAATAGTAATAATAAGTGCTGCAAAAATAGATTTTTAGCATCTCTGACACACACACACAAATGAATTTGTGAAGTGATGGCTGTGTTTGTTTGATTGACTGTTCCTCTAATAACAACACACAATTGTTGTCAGCTAAAAATGAATAAAGCAAAGGAAGAAGGGGGTTCTGGGCCCCTTCTGGGACGCCTACACCCCTCTCTTAGTCAGGGAGGACAGCGGTGCCTGCTGGCACAGTCAGTGCGCTGGGAGATTCCCACAGTAAAGATTTCCAGCCTGGCTGTTGTAGCACACAGCCATAAATGTCCTCCCTTACAACATGTCCCACACACTGCAGGATGAAGTGGGGGCACAGAGAGAGCTGCTTCCGGACTGCAGACAGCCCCTCTTGCTGGAGGTACATCCAGACTCTGGTCTTCCCGGGTATTGTCCATGATTTGTGTTTCAGAAGCATCGCCTCCCTCCCAGGAGTCGCGGCTGCTCAGGGTCTGAGGCGGGAGGGTGGGGCTCCAGGCCCAGGCCAGGGAGAAGTGTGGGGAAAGCTGGGGCTGGCAGGCAATTCTTAAGACCCCCCAGGTCACAACATCTGGAGATTTGCTCCTTCAACCCAGCGCTCAACAACCCATATGTAAGTGTCTTCTAAAATTATGCACATTTTCATTCAGAAGCAGTGCTATTTTTAAAATTATAATGACTGTTACTCACGGAGATGAGTATCACAGATTCCTAAATTTCCTGTACTGTCACAGTTACTAATAAAAATTGATAGGATAGGTAGACAGATGATAGATAGATAGGTAGATAGATAGATAGATAGACAGACAGACAGACAGACAGACAGACAGACAGACAGACAGACAGATAGATAGATAGATAAAGACAGACAGCTAACAGAGGCAATCTGAAAGAACTGATATTTGAAGAAGCCGTTGTGAGGCATGGGTCAAGGCATCATGATTTTAAACAATCTGATGCCCATCTCTTTTTCAGTGATAATGTTTTATTAGCGCACGTTAGCAGCACACGGCGACTGCGCCTCTCGTGGGTGCCGGCCCCTGTGCACAGCACACCTCAGTTCTCTTTTCATCCTGACCCCTCTCCTCTCTTCTCCCTCCTCTCTTGGTCCCTTCCCTTTTGCAAAAGAGCAAGCTCCCTATTTCCACTTACCATTTGGTTTGCTCTTTATATTTGGGGTTTCGTGTACAAGAGAACCACGTGATGTTTGAGCTCATGTATCGCTTTCATTTCACTTAGCATGATGGGCTCAGAGTGCAGCCAGGCACGTGCCGCACGCCTGAAACCCAGCTCTCGGGAGGCTGGAGCATTGCGTGAGTTCAAGGCCAGCCTGGCTCCATAGTCAAGTTCAAGGCCCGCCTGCACTACATAGCAAGACCTTGACTCAAAACAAAACAAATTGTGCTTCCATTTTCCTACAGGTGACTCCAGTTCACCCTTCTTTACAGCAGGGCAGGGCTCCATTTCTTCATCTCAGGCTAGATCTCTGAAAATGGCATTCGCCATCCTGCCACTGAACTGAATGTAGTGTCTGTGCCGATCAGCATTCGGTCAAGAGACAGAAGCCACGCTAGTAAGTTGAATAGTTGACATTAGATATCTTAAAAATCACAGGCAAAGGTGGATAAACTACCAAAGGCAGTGAAGAGAACTCTAAGGAAGACAGAAATGGCAGGAGGAGGGAACAGGGAGGACCCTCAGCTGTGTGCCCCTGGAGGGAGCCCACCCGGAAGCTGCCCTCCCTCCCGAGGTGCACCCAGACCTGTGGGAGAGGGCACAGTAGCCGCGAGCAGCAGTGTGGTCATGAAGTGTGCTGAGGGGCTGCAGGTGGGGGGCAAGAGAGGAAGCAGGGAGACGCCCAGCAGTGCTCTGCCCAGAGGCTGCTTTCAGCCAACAGCCCTCCAGGTGACAGCACCACTCAGCAGGACGCTACGTGCTGTGGTATACCTGACAGCTTTCCGTCGCTGTGACACAATGCTTGGGGCTGCACATTTCATAAAGAAACGTACATGAGCTCATCGTTTTAGAGGTTTGAGGGCCCGGTGCCAGCGTGACCATGGCATTGTGGTGGGAGGAGTGATCCCCTCTCTTGGGAACTAATTGTGACCCCTGAGAAACATGTCACCCTGCCATGGGCAGTTCCCCCAGTGAGTTCCCTCTGGGCACCTTTTCTTCAAGGTCCCCGGGGCCATCACCCTGGACCTCGCTCCCTACACGTGGACAGTGAGCTAGAACCTGTGTTCGTATCATGGACCACGGCATCTCCAATCACCACTGGAAAGCCCACACTACTGGCTCTCCACATAGAACTGGCAAATCAGCCCAAAGGAGAAAACAAAACCTCAAAACCCGGAGCCAGCAGGAAAAGGCCCTGCCTCTCACGTGGCCTTCCCCTGCCTACTGTCCTGGATGGCAAAGGGGCTACGTGTGCGCCTCCAGCCTGAGGGCCACAGAGAGACCACTGTGGCCCCCTGTGAGCTGGACAGCCATGGATACCGAGGCCGTGGCCTCTGCTTTTTTTTGGTTGAAGGTCAGCAGGACGTGAAAGGTACTCTGTGTCTTCCCTGCCCTGACTATTGAAATCACCACCAGTGAGTGTCCCCCATGTCCCTGAAGAAAGAGCTTAGCAACAGAAGGAACACTGGTGGCTGGATGGAGCCCGTGGCCGCTCAGCCCCACTATCTCGGCAGGGCTCCCTCTGGCTCCCACCCCACTTTCCCCAGAGCCCTTCTTTCCTACCAGCCATAACTGACTTGCATATTTCATCACTGTCTGCTGAAGGGGAGCTCCCCATGGGTGGGCGTTTTTGCCCCCACTGTTCACTGGGCATGTGCCGGGCCCTCTACAAGTGTTTGTTGAGTGAATGGATGATCCACCTATACAGGACAACATGAGTATAAACTGAGAGCTTTTCAGGTGGAAAAGGCCCAGGGAGGGCTGTCACGCCATGACATGTGTCCCTTGGACCACAGCCTGAAACCTTGAAAGCCAGGAGCCAAAATCACCCTCTCCTCTTCCGAAAGGTACTGTGCCACAGCGCTGGAAAGCTGACCCGCAGACGGCCCTCTCTGGGCTCAGGAACTGGGATGGAAACTGACCTTCTCTCTGGCCCCAGCTTTGGGGTCCTAAGCTTTCCTTCCCACCAGGGGAGAGGTTTCCAGAGTCCCACAGTATGGGCATGACTAGGCAGCACTCTGGGAACTCAGCCACAACAACAATACTGAAAGTGGAGGCTGTGCTAATCAGAGAGCAGGGTGATCCTGAGTTTACTGGAAAATGTTTTCCTGGGGAAATTTTTTCAAATTTTCCCAAACAGCCTGATTCTGTGACACAAAGCACGTGCGACACCTGCTGCTGCTTTTCCCCTCCAAGTACCCAACTAAAGAGCCACCCGTGTACTCGGGCCTCGCTTGTGTTGCCAAGTCTGACGCAACTTTGCTTTCCTGTCCTGGGCTGACTGACTAAGAGCCACCCTGCTGGCTCCCAGTGTCCTCGGTGACCCCAGTTCCCCAGCAACAGGAGGGAGAGACCCCAGGAAGAGGAAATGCTGCTGCCCCAGGGGGTCACCACCCCAACCACAGCGCCTCCCAGGGCCCTGTGACCACCAGAGCCACTCTGAGTCCAACTCTAGCAGAGGCAAGCACCTCCTGAGAAGAGGGTGGGCCTGGTCCCACTGGCAGCAGCTGAGTCTGCTCTTGTTCCTTGCTCAGGCCTGTGGGGTTTATCACTCAGCCCTGCATCTGTCTAGGCCCTTCCGATCTTCTTTTTCTCTTAATGGTTTCTTGCAGTCTGCGTCTGTGAGGACAGGGACACTTTCTGGGTACACTGCCACCTCGGGCACAACTGGCCCAGCAGAGAACATCCCTGAGCCAGAGATGCCCACACTCGGCCAAGAGATAGAACGGGTCCCCAGAGGAGGCAGCGACCGCTGCCAGCAGTCCTTGACCCTAGTTCATGCACATTCTTTCAAGTCTTTCAAGTCCCTCTTCTCATCCTCTTCCAAGCTCCCCCTCCAACGCCCTCCCAAGCCCCAGCCCAGTCTTTTCCCAGGGTCTTTTCCGTTTCCTTTCCCCACTCCACCTCAGGGTGGAGTTACCCACTTGGGACAGCCCCCACTTGCTGTCATCTTCCTGTCCTCACAGGGTCTTTCTCCTCTTCAAGTAGAGCAAATCCACTTCCCTGCATCCCAGCTCCAGCCACTCTGCCTGCTGGTGGCAACCCCCGTGCCTCCAAGTGTCACCATCCAGGATGGCCTTCTCCAGCCTGTCCCTGTCCCCACAGCCTCAGTCTCCTCCCCTGGGCACCTGTCCCTCAGCTTCTTCTCCCCACATTCTCTCTTGGGGCCATGCCTCTGCCAGCCCACCCACAGGGCTCACAAGGACAATGCAAATGAGCCACTCGCCACCACCACCATAGTCTCCTTGCACACACTTGGGTGTGTGTGACCGGCTGCATCAAGCGTCAGGACCACGGTGTGAACTTGTGTTGACCACGGATGTTTCTCTCCCCTGGTAGCTGCCACCTACTCTGCGAGGGGCTGTGGTCCCAGGCCCTGGGTCACGCCCCTCCTATCTGTCCCCGCAGGTGCTTACTCAGCCCCCTTATCTGGCGGGCACAGGGACAGCTGTCTGCAGGCCCATGCAAATCAAAGGCGGGGTGTGGGGAGGGGAAGGGAAACAACTTCCCACTCTCTCCAAAGGCCGAGAAGGCTGCAGAGGTCCCGGACCTTCAAGTTGCTTTCTTCCAGCCGCCAACCTCATCTGTGGCTGGAGGGCAGAGGCGCCCGGAGCTGAGCTGAGGCTTCCCTTGCCCCCGCCCCTGGGGTCAAGACGGGTCTGTGCAGAAGGAAGCAGCCCCCAAGCCTTCCCACAGCCCCCCTATGGACGACAGAGAGGCGGCACCCTCCCCACTCCCCGGAACTCCGGCAAGCGGTGAGTCCTCTGTGTGTCCCCAGCGCTGTCCCAGTCTGTGCCCAGCATGGTTTCACTTTTGTAAACATTTGCTTGTCCTTGGAGAGGAAACCATCTCAGCCTGCCAGCCGAGAGACGCCTTCTCACGGGTGAGCGAGCTTTCTGAATGGACAGAAGTTAAACCTGCGCCTCTGTCTCGCGATTAAGATGCATTTTGTTCTCTTTAACTGTTTCTTACTGCTGTTTTCCAGTATGCCAGTCTTGTTTCTCTACCAAAAAGAACGTAAGCGATGAGTGTCATACCTCCCACAGTGGTCCCCTCACACCTAAGTCCTGCTCTGGGGACAGACCTGGGAGTGTTTACTTAAAGAAACACTTTAAAGTGTTAAAGAAATGTTTACTTCCTCTTGGGAGACATGGAGGGCTCTGGCTTGAAAGGAAGCTTCAGGGTGATTTCGCCGAGAGGCGTGAGCACGGCCGGTGCTGGGGACCACGCCTTCCTGCTCTCTCCTCTGTTCTGAGGTAGCTGTCGGGCAGCAAAGAGCCTCTCGTTCCTCCACAGGTCAGCCGGCAGATGGCGAATTACACGGCGGTGCCTGAGGACGAGTACGACGTCCTCATAGATGGGGACCTGAGCGGCGAGGAGGTGGACACCTGTGACCAGGCTGCCTCCGCGGTCCTGTCGGCGCGGCAGGTGGGCCAGGTCTGTGCCGGCCTGTTCACGGCCGGCCTCCTGGCCAACAGCTTGCTTCTGTTCATCCTGATCAAGTACAAAGGACTCAAGCATGTGGAAAATATCTTTTTCCTCGGCGTGGCATTTTCTAATCTGTGCTTCCTGCTCCCCTTGCCATTCTGGGCTCCAGCGGGCGTGCACAGGGGAGGCCTTGGCGGCCCGGAGTGCAGAGTTCTGGCCACGCTGCACTCCTTCGGGCTGCATGGGGAGGCCCTGTTCAACATGCTCCTAACTGCGCATGCATCCCAGATAAGAAGGCTGGCCTCAGCCTTCAGGACAGTGACCAACGGTGTCATTGCCGCACTGCTGACATGTCTGGTGGCCTTTCTGGTCACTTTGCCTGAGTTCGTGTTTTATAAACCGCCACCAGAAGACCAGAATTCCAGGTGCTCCTTCAGCAGTCCTCACTTCCTGCCAGCGGAGGAGACCTTCTGGAAGCGCATAGTGACTCTGAAGATGAACATCGTGGTGCTGGTGTGTCCACTGTTCTGTCTCCTGTGTGGCTGCCTCCTGCAGACCAGGAGTGGGCAGGAGCAGCCGGAGCGGTTCAGGTTGGTCTGTGGTGTCGTGGCCGTCTTCCTTTTGATGTGGGCGCCCTACAATGTCGCACTGTTCCTGTCTGCTTTCAAAGAGTGCTTCTCCCTGCATGGCTGTGAGAGCCGCAGCAAACTAGACGTGAGCGTTCAGGTCACCAAGATCATCGCCACGTCCCACTGCTGGGTCAACCTCCTTCTGTTCGTGTGGCTTGACCGGGCATTTCGGAGACACCTTTGCGACCTGTTCTCTTGGTGTGGCCAGAGCCAGCCTCAGCCCACTGTCAGGGAACCCACACAGGACACGGTGACAGCCAGCCAGGACCGGTCCACTCAACTCTAGCACCCGCATCAACGGTGGGATGAATAAACCCTGACTTTGGTCTCTGCACATGGTTTGTGCTGCCTGTTATTACCTTTGTGTGTAAAATGGGCAACAGGAAGACCAGGGCCGGAGGAGCATCCATGAGGGCCAGGCTCCCCGAAAAGCTGAGTGTTTTCAGGCCCGAGGTGTGGGTGGGAGTGGTCTCACTGCTCTGAGAGGAAACTGAGGCTCAGAACTGTGTCTGAGATTACTCAACTAGAAAAGGGGCAGACTTGGGATGCGAACCCAGGTAGCAAATACCGCAGAAGCTGTCCAAGTACGCTGGGCTTCCCAAAGCTACCGAGCAAAATCCATGAACTAAATATGTGCTTTAAGCAAACCAATTTGGCCATGTTCTGAATGAGAAGCAGCGCGTTGGTGCGAAGGGACTTTTTCAGGCTCGCTTTCATGCAAAGCTGGCTAGCGGGGGCTGCGGAGATCAAAGGGGAGGGGCCTGAATTCACGCAGGACCTGGAAGACGCTGGCTGCTCGCCACAGCCGGGCCACGCATGCATCAAGCCGTGAGCCTCCCAGGGTTTCTGCGTGTACGCTTTGTCATGAAGGCCATGGGATCATAGAAAGACTACTGGCAGTAGATGCAAAATTATGTTTAGAAACATCTAACAAAGAGAAGACTTTGACCTTTTAAATATAACAGCACAGACCACACCGGCCTGTAGCTACCAGACAGCTGACAGCCACTTCCGTTCTGTAGCCGAGTTATACCACGGGGGCTCGGCCACCACATCAGCAGGAGGCCACCCATTCACCCAGGGTCACGTCTCCTGGAGCCCCTGAGATTTGTACGAGGGCGACTCGTCTTTGATCCTAAAGTGACTTCCTGTCTGTGACATTCCCTGGTGAATCTGACCCTGGTCCATGGAGTGCTCCAGGCCACCAGCAGGGGCTCATGGCTGTGGCCTGTGGACCTGGAGCCCAGTGGGGAGGATCTGTTTTAAGCTGATAAAATAAAATGAAGAATACCTTGCTTGCCAAACATCACAATCCTCCACACGCCACCCTGTCACTGAAGTGTCCTGGGTGTTAGATGAAATGGTCAAAGCCCTACGAGGGCGGTGGTGGGGACCCTCCAGGCACAAGCTGGGGAAGCAAGTGGCTCCAAATTCTGTTCCACGTTAGTGGATCTCAAAGGTCAGCACCCTTTGAAGGCCTTGTTCTGAAGCACAGATTGGGGATCCAGGAGCGGTCTTTGTGGGGCCTAAAAGTTGGTGTACATGTGAGGGGCGATTGGTGGAGGCAGACAGCAGAGAAACCAGAAGCAGTGCCAGTCAGAGGAAAGTTAGGGAGTGGGATGGAAGGACTCACACAGAGCTCAACTGTCACAGGGAACACTGGTCATTCTCCAAGGCTGTGGCCATATTGGTTTGTCCATGCGATTATGGGGCAGTAAGCACAGGCAGTGGGTACAAAGGCTTGGGAGATACTTGGGGTGCTGCTCCCCATTCCAAAGATGAGTGCAGGCCATCATCATAAAAAAAAAAAAAAAACCAAGGCACGGAGGGAGCAAACCCTCGTCCAAAAGGGTGTGGAACAGTGAGCACTCTCATGCACTGCTGCTGGCGATGGGAAATGATATCGCTGGAAAGTCTGGCTGTGTCTTAGCTACTTTCTCTCGTTGCTGAGACAAAAATACCCGACACACCCAAAATTAAGGAAGGAAAGGTTTATTTAGCTCATAGTCTGTGAAGGTTTCAGTGCTTAATCAGCTGGCTCCAAGGCAGGGTGGCGTGGTGAGGGGCAACAGCTCAAGTCGGCCACAGCCGGAGAGGTGGGAGACAGCAAAACGGTAAGAGCACAGCGGGAGGGCAAGCCCTCTCCTCCCTTACACTGTGGGTAGACGGCCACCCCCGGGGCCGTTGGAGCCTTCGCACCGTCTTACACAAGCTGAGGACGTTTACAAAAGGAGGACCCTGGCCCTCTGCTAAGTCCCCCAGTTAAACTTTTTTAAACTTCTCAAGTTGACACAATGCACAGCATCCTGGAGCAGTAAGGGCAGGTGCCCTACACCCAGGATACAGAGCTGCTGAGTTACTGAGCGAAGTTTCGAGACTCCTCAAGTTGGCATAATCTGTCAACCGTAACAGGCAGTTTCTTAAAACTCTAAGTTTATACCCACTCCACTCCTAAACATTTGTCCAAGAGAAAGGAAAACACGTCTCTACACAGCTTTCTACATGGCTGTGCAGGGCCGCATCTATAGTTCCCACTGGAAATGATCCAGCCGGCCCTCAGTGGGTGGAAAATAGTGGTATAACTACGTAGCAGAATACTGTGCACCAGTCAAAAGGGAATAAGTGCCTGATCCACACAGCCACACGCACAGAATCTCAGAAGCCTACGTGAAGGAAGCCAGACTTCATTTAAAAGGTACTTAGGCAGGGCTGGCCAGGTAGCCCAGTGGACTACAGAGCCTGCCTAGGCAGAGCACAGCAGCCTGGCCTGTAATCCCAGCGCTCGGGAGGCTGAAAACAGGAGAATCACTGTGAGTCCAATCTACATAGTGAGACCCTGTAGACCCTCTACTAAACACATAGAAAAGGGTACTTAGGCATGGTACTCTAATCCCATCTTTTGGGAGGCTGAGCAAGAGGATTGCTTGAGTTTGAGGTCAGCTGGGGTACATTGCAAAACTCTGCCTCAAAATAAAATAAAATACTACTTATGCTTATTTAGGAAATTCAAACTGATCCATAGTGACTGCAAATCAATGTCTGCCC